AGGAGTCAAGCTAGCCAGCTCGAGCGAGTCAAGCATGGCATGCCCAGTCCCACCCGCCCTCCCACAACATAATAAGCAAAGCTGGCACAACTGGGGGCCGAAGTCACACCGGCCAGCCGGTTTGGTACAGCTGATGCGGCCGCGATGGCGTTTGCCGACGGGAACTGGCGAGCGCGTGTTGAATGCCGCGCACGCATTGCCAGACGAGTCGAGAATGGCCCGGTACACCGCAGGAAGCCAGAGGTGGCCGGAGGAAGCCCGACGGTCTGACAGGACACCCCAAAGCATTTTTGTGAAACAGCATTGGGTTTTTGATGTTTTTATGTTGAAATGCTTGCAAACACACGGTGTTCGGTAGGATTCTGACATGAACGCGCGAGTGTGCTCTTTGTGGTATTTGTTGCACAGGATTCGCGGCCTGGGTGCATGACAGAGCATCGCGAGTGCACCGCGCGATGACGTGAAATCGCTGGATTTGACAGAATTCTTAAGATTCCTATGGTTTCCCTATGATTTCAGCAAGAGAGCCCGGGCGGGAAATTTGTACAATTTTTGTGAAAAAGCATTGGGTTTTTGATGTTTTATGTTGAAATGCTTGCAAACACACGGTGTTCGGTAGGATTCTGACATGAACGCGCGCGTGTGCTCTTTGTGGTATTTTTTTGCAATGGATTATCGCTGTGGACGACAGGACGTCCATGTCGAGAGGAAAAAATAAGAAAAATGTTGATTTTGTATTGTTTTTTACAGGTTAGGATGGGACCACCCGGATGCGCCCGCTATCTGCCGGCCTGAGGGGGAGTAGGAGTATATTCTAATAAGGAATAAGGATAGGAAGTAGGAAACGGAGATGAACAGTAGGAGAGGAGGAGGAGGCCTGAGGAGGAGGAGGAGTAGGAGGAGGAGGACATGAGGAGGAGGGAGGAGGAGAGGAGGGGGGATGGGGAGGAGGAGGAGGAGGAGGAGGAGGGGGGAGGAGGAGGAGGAAGGGGGGGAAGGAGAGAGGGAGTAGGAGGAGGAGGGGAGAGGGGAGAGGAAGGAAGGAGGAGAGGAGGAGGAGGAGGGTTCGGAGGGGTGCGAGGGGAGGATGAGGAGGAGGAGGAGGAGGCGTAGGAGGATTCTTTGATATATGGCGAAGGTAGGATGCTACTGCTGCTGCTGATGGTGGTGGTAGTGGTGGTGATGGTAACAGATGTTTAAAGTATGCCGAGGACTGGTAGTGGTGGTGAGGAGGGAGAATCAGTTCTTCGGGGCACCGCCCACGAGGTCATGGAGTCCACGCACCAAGGCATGCAGGTGCTCTTCGGGAAGCGTCGCTCCGATGGTCTGCAGGTTGTGGTCAAGACGCGCGAGAAGCCAGCGTCCTTCAAGGGGGGCTGGGAGGAGCGCAAGCGGCGGATATCGGTCCTCGTCCTCCACTCCCCATTCACCTCCTTTTTTATTCCTCCCCTTCCTTCTCCTTCGTCTTCCCCCTGCCTTCCCTTCCTTCCCCTCGTTCCCCTCCTCGACCTTCCTTCCCCTCGTTCCCTCCCCTTCTACTCACCGTTTCCGCTCCTCGTTCCCCTCCTCAACCTCCTCATCCCTTCCCTGCCCCTCCTTCCCTCCTCTCCTCCCCTTCTGCCCGCTCCCCCCTTGTCCCCCCCCCCCCCTACCATCCCCCGCTCCAGTATTCCTGTCGAGTCTCCCCTCCTCCCTCTCGTCCATCTCCCCCCCCCTCCTCCTGCCTTTCTCGCATCCTGCTCTTCTCCTCCTCCTTTCCTACTCCTCGACCTTTTCGTCCTCTTCCTCCTTGTATCGTTTCCTCTCCTCTCCTCACCTCTGCTTTGCTCTCGTATCTCCTCTTCCGGGGGTAGCTGGTAGGAACGCGAGTGGCGCGAGACGACGGTGGTCCAGCTGAACATGCCCAAGATCGAGAGCATGTGTGAGTACATCGAGGTCTCCCCCAACCGTTCTTGGTGCTGCTGCGTTACCTCCTCCCTCCCCTTCCCTCCCTCGCCTCTCCTTCCTCCTCTCCTCTCTCCTCTCTCCTCTCTTCTCCCTCCTCCCTCCTCCCTCCTCGCTTCTCTCCCTTCTCTCCCTTCTCTCCCTTCTCAATCTCGCTGCTCGCTCCTCGCTCCTCGCTCTTCCCTCCGCCCTCCTCCTTCATGCTCCTCCCTCCCTTCTCCTCCGCCCTCCTTACTTGTCCTCCTCCGTCCCTCCTCGTTCTTCAGGGCTCCTCGTCGCGCCGCGTCAGTACAGAATGGGCCCGGCGTTTCGCCCAGGCTCGCCCCATCTTTCAAGGCTCGGGGGCGGAAAAGAGGGGGGTGATGACTAGGGGGGGTGGATCTCATGGCGCGGGCCATGATATTTCCCCAGATTTCATGGCGCCTCTTCTTATTTCATTGCGTCCCTGGCCCCCCCGCTGGGCCGCGCACATGCCGCCGGTCACGATCTGCACCCCCCCCTCTTGGACACCCCCCTCTTGGCCGCTCCCGAGAGGCCTCGAGGCTCGAGATCTCCAGCAGCTCTACGAGCAGAGGGCGGCTCGTCTGGAGCACGGCGCCCTCGCCCCGTCGCCCACGGCTGCAGGGGTGGAGGGCGAGCCGCTGCGTGGCCGCCTCGCGGACGGCCCGCGCACCGGGTGCACCGAACAGCTAGTACCGCACATCCTGCACCACGTGTATATATATATATATATATATATATTTATACATATATACACCCTCGGCGATGCTTAAGAAAGCTTAAGTTTTCGGCCAGAGTCTCGATGATTCTTAATGCTTTAATGTAAATCCCAAGATTTTAATAGAAGTTCTGGTTTTTTATTCAGATTCTGAGATTATGAATTTCTTAATCCATGATTTCTTAAGCATTTCGCAGGGTGTATATATATATATATATATATATATATATATATTGCATCCCATAGCTCGAACCACACAGCTTGCAGCGCAGGTTCTGCACCACAGATGCTGCATTGCGCATCTTCTCCTCTCGAGGCAAGAACAGACTACCGCCCCATTTCCCCCTGGACTGACCGGCCCCGCCCTGGGACACTGCAATGTACGTATGATTCTGCCTCGTCGTTCGTTTTCATGTGAGTTCGTTTCATTCCAGCCAACCCGTTGTCGCCCCCCTCGTCCCTGTCAAATGATACTATGCGCGCGCATTCGTTTATCGCCAAAGATCTGTTTCAAGAGCTCCTTGAACGAAATTGCACAAAGTCCACAAGTGGAGTGCAGCGGCAACGGCTTCCGGAAATCCATCCGACCGATAAACCGATCAACCGATAAAAAGTAATCGGTTGAACGGTTTGCAAACCGATCAACCGAAAAACCGATATAATTTGATCGGTTTATCGGTGGATCGGTCGCTCAACCGAAAAACCGATAATCTTCGTATGCGAACATAGAGGCGATTGCTGGCGCGCCCCCCTCTCTTCGTCGGTTTATCGGTTTATCGGTTCATCGGTTGACTGGCTGGTCTGAGACCGCTGGGGGGAAACCTGTGGAGGCGATCCTTGTGCCGCATATCGGTTTATCGGTTTATCGGGTTATCGGCTGGTTGTCAGTCCCCCGCCACGACGACGACGGCGACGGCGACGGCATGAGTTTTGTGTTTGGCTCTGGCGCGGACGGCGCACCCCGCTCTGGGGCGGCTCGGCTTGATCAGCCTGAGTCTCTGGTGCGGACGGAGTCCCGCAGGGGTCCGAGCATCTCCCGCCGCGCGCGATGCTTTGCGCGGGTAGTGCAGGGCCTGCGAGGGTCTCAGGCGACAGTGGCCGAACCAACTTGGGGCAGGGCATATGCGAGGTCGTTGTCTCAGACGAAAGTGGCCTGAAGAGGTCAGCTATAGGCGTCTCGGAAGCCGCTGTTGCGAGGATGTCGCAGGCGAAAGTGGTCGGACCGCCATGGGGTAGGGCACCTCCGAAGTCAGAAGTGCGAGGGCGCCCCGGGCGAAAGTTGTCTGAACATCGCATCCCGGGGCAGATCGGGGGTCAGACTATTTCAAGGCTGGGCACATCCCCCCCAGGTGAACGAGGCGAGTTTTTGCGTGGGCGGAAATGGCCAGCACAATTTGGGGCAGGGCATATCAGAGGTCAGCGTTGCGAGGATGTCTCAAGATGAGGAAGAGGAAGGTCATGCTGATGATAATGATGGCGATGGCGGCAGCCGCGCGGGAGGCAGAATCTGGCGGGGCAAATTTCGGTGGGGAGCAAAATCTGGCGCGCCATTTTGCGTCGGTCTGGATCACATTGTACGAAAGGACGGACGGCGATCGGCTCCAGGAGCAGAGCCTCGACAAGACTCCACGAGGAGCAGAGCCCCGACAAGACTCCGCGAGAGGGGAGGGAGAAGGAGGAAAGGGGAGGAGGAGAGGGGAAATGCGAAACCCCTAAAGCGCAAAGAAGGAGGGGGAGGGGGAGAAAGACCCCCCCCCCAACCCGCCTAAGCACGGTTGAAACCGACAACATCCTAGCCCGAAGTGCCCTGCCAGATTTCGCTTCCCGCAAGACCGCCGGCGCGCGGAGCATCTTCAAATCGCAGGTCGGCAGGGGGCAAATATACCACAGGACGGCCGGGGACAAACATACCAGAGGTTGGCTGGGGGCGAATATATCACAGGACGGCTGGTACCACCGACCGCTCTCTCCTCGGGCCACCCCTCTGGCCACCCCCCACCACCGACCACTCTCTCCTCTCCCTCGTCACCCCCCTCCAAGTCATCCACGTGCGTCCTCGACGGCGACGGCGACGATGGCAGGGAGTGACGCGCGTCATATTTGATAGGGCGCGACACTACCCCTGCAGATGCGCCCGCCTCTCCGCGCGCGTCGGCTGGCCACGTCGGCGCGCCGACGCGTCCTTCCGAAGCTTTTTGCTCGGGTTGCGTCGGCGCGTCGCCGCCTCCTCGCGGAGCTTCGCGAGGAGCTCCTGGGAGGCCGCGTCGCCGGCCGCGTCGGCGTCGCACGGCAGCCAGATGCACGCGGCGCCAGGCGCGCCGGCCGCGCCGCCAGCAACCTCGTCCAGCACATGCTCGGCGCCTTCGCTGCCGCGCTCGCGGGCCGCGCGCAGCAGCGCGCGGAGCAGCTCCCTTCGCCAGAGCGCGCTGTTCTCGTACTGCGCCCGCGGGATGCCCGGCGGCAGCAACGTGTGCTGCGCCCGCGGGAAGCCCTGCTGCGCATTCCGGGCCCCCAATGCCTCCAGCGCCTCCTCGGCGCACCGCCTCGGGCACTGGTCGTCGTCCTCGGCGTGCACGGCCCAGATGCCACCTGGCACTCCTGGGTGCTCCTCCAGGCGGTCCAGGTAATCCTGGAACTTCCCGACTGGGTCCGTGTATGCCGGAACTCCAGCCAAATTGGGCTGCCCGTGGCCGTGGGGACCTCCCAAGGCCACCGCCTCCATGCGCGGCCGCCCGTGCGCCAGGAGCTCCGTGATGCAGTAAGCGCCGCGGAAAAGCCGAGCGCGACGACGGGCCCGCCGTCGGCGAAGCTCTCAACGAAGTCCGCGAGCAGGTCCACGCTCCCGGGCACTAGATCCCCGAGGAAGCCGTGCGCAGCGTCGTTTCGATCCAGGATCCACAGCCGGTCTCGCGGCCGCAGTGGCGCGAGGAACCGAAACGGCGGCAGTCCCCAGCTCATCATGGCCTTGAGCTTCCCGGCGAACGGCGCTCTCGCGTCGCCACCCTCGCCCCCGAGGCCGGCGAGGTAGAGCAACAGCGGCTCCTCCTCGAGCGGCCCGTTCTCAGGCGGCTCATCCGCGTCAACCCCGCAACTGGAGGGCGCCACCCTGGCGGCGAAGTAGCGCAACTCCTCGCCCGTCGTTGGACACCGCCAAACGATGGGGCCCTGGAGAAAGCCGGCGGGGCCACTCCACGGCGACGCAGCGCGCAGCAGGTGGGCCGGCGGGGGGCCGCCTGGGGGTGTCGGCTCGCGCGGCGACGCAGCGCTCGGATCAGGCTGCGCCGCCGCCTGCGGTCCCGCCTCGTCCTCGAGGTCCAGGTCGCTCGTGCGGGGGATTCAGGTGCGCGGAGGCAAAAGACCCTCGGCCTACCTGCCTTGGGGCCGAGGTGTGTCGGAGGCTGAGTGGAGCCTCATGGAACAGTCGTGCTTGGCACGCCTGTGCGATCGAACATGCCTGCGGCGAATCACCGCGCGCCGCTGTGGGCGGACTTGGAGGCATCTTGGGCCCTCTTGGGCCGACTTGGTGGTCATCTTGGACCCTACTGGGCGGAATTAGAGGCATCGCGAACCCTCTTGGGCCATCTTGGAGTTCATTTTGGACCATCTCAGTCGATCTTGGACGCCATCCTGGCCGTCTTGGAAGATATCTAGGCTGGTCTTGGAAACGTTTCTGTGCAGCGGCGCCGCGCCGAGACCCGAGGGGGAGTTTTCAAAGAACCTGAAGTTTAGCGCGCAGGGCACCCTGGTGGCAAAGACCACAGGGGGTGGCGGATCTGGCGAGTGGCAGCGGCCGGCTGCATTATCTAATGGCCTTCGGCCTATCCCGCCACCGCGCCTGTGTTGCGAGCCGAAGTCATCCAAAATGTTTCTTGGGTCGATTCGTAGCGCCTCCGGAAGCCTATGTAGCAGTTCTGGGCCTTGTTGAGGGTCGTTCCTTGGGGCCTGTTGGAACCCCGTTTGGATTTTTTTTTTTTTTTTTTTTTTTTTTTTTTTTGTTTTTTTGTTTTTTTCCCCCCCCCCCACAATGCTTCTTTCGCTGCCGGCGCGCCTCTCGGGGCCCAGGGCTGCCTTGTGGAACCGTCTGGAGGCTTCGCCGTTCGCAGTCGGGATTTGGCCAGGATGCGACGGGGCCCGGGGGGCGCGCGACGCGCCCCTGGAGGCGCGCGGAGGCCCCGATATATTTAAGAGTTTTATGTCCAGGCCCTCGGGATTGAGGACTGAGGTTCGGGGGATTCAGCAAAAAGCCCGATGACATTGCAATTCGCGCCCGAGG